ATCACCTATGCTTTAAAAAATTAAAATGACTTATTATTTACATTATTTAATGTGTGTGAATGTTCTGTCTGTCTGTATGTACACCATATGCATGCCTGCTACTCCGGGCATTCACAAGAAGGCACTGATCCCCTGGTACTGGAATTAGGGATGTGAGCTACCAACCAACTGGCTGTTGGGAGCAGAGTTGAGGTCCTCTGCAAGAGCAAGTGCTCTAAACCATGGAGCCACCTCTCCAGCCCCTTAGTCCATGTTTTTAACAGGAGAACTGTAGTGACTGGGTGTGGTGTGCACGCCTTTAATCCCAGCACTTGAGAGGCAGAGGTGGGTGGATCTCTATGAGTTTGAGGCCAGCTGGGTGTACACACAGAGTTCCAGGAAGACAGAGTTACACCGAGAGACCATCTCAAAAGACAACAACAATGACAACAACAAAATAAAGGGAACATTGTGGAACAGAATGAACAGAACATTAGTAACCTAAGTGTTTTGGTGTGGTACCAATGCTGCCTTACAAGGAGGGCCCTCAGGGGTGAGCTGGCAGTAAGGACGAGTGGGGACATTGCTGGGGTTGGCAGAGTCCTGCTTCTTCTCCCAGGAACAGGTCCATGTTTTAATCCCGAGAAAGTAAGTTTGTTAGCTTATATGATAAAGAGAAAATGAGGAGGCAGATGGGATTAAGGCTAAGTATCGGACAACCTCGAGGGGTGGGCCCAGTCATTCACAGAGGACCTTACAAATAGGAAGAGGCAGGCAGAAGGCCAAAGGCCCAGTGCTGGCAGCATCCAAAGATCTCAGCCCTGAGCTGCTGGCTGGAAAGACACAGGGATTGAGCCCGAAGCCAAGGAATGTGGGCAGCTTCCAGCTCTGAATGATGTAGCTCTTCCATCAGACCAGTATCCAGAGGGAACACAGCCAGGTGGACACATTCTACGTTTCGGAACTGCAGGGGTGTCTGAGAACAAATAGTTTGTGGCTTTACATCTGGAATAGTGTGGTAACTGGAAAGAGCAGCAACTAGGCATGGCACTAAGCAAAGGTATTCTGAAATTTGTGGGAAATGATTAACTGTACGTGCATTGTTCCAAGAACACACACAGCACCTCAAACTTGCTTTCTTAGAGTCTGGCTGTTAAGATAAGTGGGTGACTGGGAGGTCTTCAGTCTTCTTATATTGTCTCCTGGTTCAGTGCCTGTTTGGTTTTGATTTTAGCACTCACTATATATTCCCTCCTGGTTCAGTGCCTGTCCGGTTTTGATTTTAGCATTCATTGTATTTTTCAAAGCAGAGTTAATTACAAAGCAATGATCAAACCAGATCCAACCCGTCTCTACTTCCCTACATTCTCTTCAATTATTCATTACTGTGGACTTCCCAAAAAATAGTTAGAAAAACTGTTTGCTATTATTGTTGTTATAGTATCATAGCAAAACTATAAGAAAATAGCTTGATAGTGGTGGCACACACTTTTAATCCCAGCACTCAGGGGTGCAGAGACAGGCAGATGTCTGAGTTTGAGGCTAGCCTGGTCTACCAAGTGAGTTCCAGGACAGCCAGAGCTACATAGAGAAACCATGTCTCAAAAACCAAAACAAACAAAAATTACAAGCAAATAATGAAAAATTGTCAGTAATGAATTATCCTTTGGAAACAATTGTGTAAGGGTTAAGTCTCTTGCCTAGAATTAGCAAGGCCTTGGACTCAATTCCCAAAACTGTAAAAGAAGGGGACTGACTTGCTAAAAAACACCAAAACAAAAACTTTTAAAGCAACACACTAAGCACATATTTAAACACACTACATTGTATATGTTTTAGTCCTTCAATTTGAGTAAGAATGTTAATGGGTTCTCTTATGCAGGTTAACTTATTTTTAGCACACGAGGGAGAATTAAAATCTCGAAAGCATGCTATCATTAATTGCCTTACATTTTCAAATGACTCAGTAATAAAAATCTGAATGTAAGGGAATAAAACACATCAACTTATGTCTTCAAGTGGCGCTATGTGTGGTGGCACATGCCTTTGGTCCCAGCACTTGGAATGTAGAGTCAGGAGGATAAGGGTCAGGGCCAGCCTACATAGTGAGTTGGGGGCCAGCCTAGGTTACTTGAGTCTATGACTCAAAAAGAAAAAAAAAAAGTAGCAAAAAACCAAAAGAAAGCAAAAGTGATGCATAGCGAAAGTAGACTAATCTTTTTTTAAATAACTAGATCTACCTCTAAATAACCATTTTTCTTTTCTTAAGCATCCATGAACATACATAGGTGATTTCCTTATACTTAATACTTTTATATTCTTATTGCTGCTCATTTAGCTTGCTTGCATGTCTGCCCGCCTGCATATATATGTATATACATATCTGGGACAGGCTGCTTTCTGTCTGTCTGTCTGTCTGTCTACTTGTCAGTCTATCTGGGACAGGGCATCTATCTATCTACCTACCTATCTATTTTCTCTTTGAGACAGGTCTCTTCATTCTGCGGCCCAGGGTAACCTCAAGTCCTCAGTCTCCTGCCTCATATTCCCAAGTGTTAGGACTGCAGCCATGCACTTCTACTCTTGGCCCTGGAATGCTTTAGAGGTGACATACCACCAGCTCTTCAACTCCAGTTACTAGAGTAGGAAAAAAGATCCCACTGAATAGACACTGCAAATGGAGTTTTGCCTGTATTAAACTCTGGCCAGCAGTATACTACACGACTCACATTTTCATGGCATTTTAGAGATTATGGGTCATTCATATTTTTTACCATTGGAAAGAGAATTCCAAGTAATGAATCTCACAGTAGAGCAGTGTTGTCTAGGGAACTGTGCAAGGCTGTGGTCTGTTACATTCGGCAAAAGCACTAAGTTGACAGCATTTCTCGAAAAGCACTAAGTTCATAGTATTTCATGTCTATGGAAACAAATAATAACACTGGTCGTGTACTTCCTATGTCTCTGAGGGGTTCTGCATCTTTGTTTTACCAGTCTTCATTTACATTTTATTTTTACAATAGTGATGGCAAATGACTTCTAGGAGAAACAAAATTGCTTCATTCCCAGCACCACAAAATGCAAAACCAACATAACCAAGCAGGTTCTTCACCACAGGCAGCTTGAGAAATGCTGTAAATGAAAAGCAAGTGTTGTTTTAAAAACTAACATACGCCGGCACTGTACCACAGCACTTGAAATATTTATTGCAGTATATACTGAAATATGTCCCTTCAAGCCATGTATAAAATGAATTTCAATTAGTATGACTTAATATGCTCCCATGTATTAAGACTACTTTCCCAATCCTAGATCCAAGAGATCTGTATCATAAAAGGATTGAAGAACTCCAGAGAGCACCCAAGTAACTTCTTTACCTCTCATAAATGTATTTCACCATTATAACAGGGGTGTGTGGGTCTATGCATACATACACTTCATTACAAAAACTGGCCTTGTATGAAAGAGAAAAATGACTATAAAAGCTCAGTAGGCTAATTGCTGTAGTTTCAGCTAGTGGCTCTATGCAGCCTCAAATACCTGAAGATAGACTGTCAAGAATCAAGGCTGGATTTCTGACCTTTATGATCCTTGAAGAGTTGGATGACAGGCCTGCCAACCAAGGTCCCTTAGAAAGAACCACAGTTATACACCTCCAAGAGCCCCAAACAGGCACTTAAACAGATGCTCACCCAGGCGTGTTTGTGCCAGCATTACTCATAACAGCCAAAAGACAGAAGCAGAACAATTCAGATGTCTGTCAGCGGACTAGCAGACAAACAACCCATTGTTTGGTTCACCAACACAATGGAGCACTGTTCCAGCCACCGAGAGGAATGAAACACTGAAACATGTGAAAACACCGATGAACCTGAAACACATTACGGCAGGCGAAAGAAGCCAAACATAAAAGGTCACTTCTTACAGGATTCCGTTTACGGGAATGTCTCCAGGGAGGAAGGGCTGGGGGAGGAGTACAATCTAATGAGCCTGGGTTTTCATCAGATTAAGAGAGCTGGGAGGAGATGGTGTCTGTTGTCTGCACAGCACTGTGGAAGTACTAAATGCAACCAAATTGCTTATTTTGAAATGAATATTCTGACTCCTGAGTGTCACTCAGGGAAAAAAAAAAAAGCAGACCCAGTTATTATTGGTGGGAGTTATCTCACTACTGTCTGCTTATTTCTTTTGACTAACTGCTCAAGGCACACAGTTGCCATTCTCTGGCAATGTACCCCAATAAAATAGATAGCTACGCCCGGACTCATGAGGAAGTGCTGGCTGCCAAGTATGAGGACCTGAGTCCAGAGCCCCCAAACAACTTAAAATGCTGGGCACTGTGGCACGTGCTTGTAACCTTCATATGGGGGAGACTAGGATGGAATTCCTGGGCTCTTTGCCTCCCTAGCATAATTGAACCAGTTAGCTACAAGTTCCCAGAGAGACCCTGCCCCTAAGAATACCATCCTACATCGACTCCTGCCCTCTATAGTATGTGCACTAAGGTGTACCCCATGCATGTGAATACACACGTGTGCACACACAGCAGAAGAGCACAACAAACAAAAAGCAAAACATTATAAATAAAGTTTGCTTCAAGTCTGCCATTGTTAATAGGGATGGGGCAGGCATGTGTTTCACCAAAAATGACAAGAGACCCAGAAAGAAGAGTTTGTGCATTCTGTAAAGTCACAAGACTAGAAAACTACAACCTGTCACTCAAAAGCTGGACAAACAAGCAGACACCCAGACCTCAGTCCACGGTGACTTAGAGGCGTCAGAGCAGCCCATCACTCCTCTTGGGAACTGTACTCCCTCTAGTCCCAGTGTCAGAGAAGGCTAGCTGACGTGCTACTGTCAGGTGTTTTCAAGGTTAGCTTTTAAACATGATTATTTTCATGACTACACTTGCATCATCTTTTGACCCAGAACATCAGTCTAACTCAGTAAAAACACCAGCAGTTAACCAAGGTTTGTATACTGTTGACATGTCAAATGAGAATCACTGAAACTTTACTTACATATTCCTTGACATTTTTCGTCTTCACAGCTTTGTATGAATAGTATGCCGGGTAGAGCATTCCAAACACCAGTCTGGAAGGGGAAAAAAATTGATTAATTCAACACAGGGAATGCTTCTAACAGCTCTAGACTTAGCTCAGGAAACATGTGATGATGGTGAATTCATACATCTACAAAGTCACACAGAAACCAAGTCTACCCTGAGAAGCAAAGTGCAAACATATCCTAAAAAAAAAAAGACATTAATACTTTAGATAGTAGCTTCATGGCCATGAAAACTTTGTCTTTTGAAAAAAACAACCAACAACCAACCAACCAATTTGAAATGATTTCTATATATCCCATGCATAGTTCCCATTATTATCTTACAGTGGGAACACACACTGTCACCCTGGCCCAGGCTTCCTTTGTCTTCACCTAGCTCCAGACCCCCACCCAGTATAACACACTGTACTACATGTCTTCACAGCTCTCTTTGGCCTGTACATTTCATACTTTCCTCGATGCTAAGGTCACTACGAGAGTTTTGAGTATTGGTCAAGTGTACCTAGGATATCGCTCTATTCAAATTTGAAGTTCTTCTCATGACTAGTCAGAAATATGGGTTCTGTGGAGGAGACCACAGAGGCCAGGTACCAGTGTTACCATATTTATATCAAGGGCACATATTATCAACAGAAATCATTAGTACGTTACCCTTGCTCAGTATGCCGTTCTGTTATTCTGCCCACTGTAAAATTTTGTTTTGTTTTGTTTCTTGAGATGGAGGTCTTGGCTGGGTGGTTGGTGGTAGCAGCAGCCACAGGAAACTGTTTTTAATCCCAGCACTCAGGAGTCAGAGGCAGGTAGATCTTTCAATTCAAGGTCAGCCTGGTCTACAGAGGGAGTTACAGTCAGGGTAACACAGAGAAACCCTGTCTCCAACAACAAACAGATGGAGGTCTTGCTATATGACCCAGGCTGGCCTTGAGCTTGCAATCTTGAGCCTCTGCCTCTAACTCCCAAGGGCTGGTATCACACAGAGGTACTGGTAGAGACAGATGTCTACTTTTCTTCCTTTTTAGAGATTTATTTTAAATTTAAGTATGTGAAGCATGTGTGTAGGTGTATGTAAGTGGAGGTGCCCACTCAAGTCAGAAAAGGACACCAGGCATCGAGTCCTCTGGAGCAGGAGTAAAGAAGTTGTGAGCCACCTGACATGGGCATTGGGAATTCGGGTCTTCTGTAAGAGCAGAGAGGGCTCAACTACTGAGCCATCTCTCCAGCCTGCCTTTCTTTTTCCTCTTGTGATGCTGTGGGTTGAATCTGAGGCCTTTTGCAAGTGCTCCCTCGTTGAGCTATAGTCCAGTTGATGAATCGCTCTTTCACTGAGTAAATATTTACATCTCTATTTTTAGCGAGCTCACAGCTTTTATATGTATTTATTTTGAGCCGGTGCTTTCCTGGTGGTTTCCTTAGGTCTTGGTTTGTGGCTTTATGTCCCCAGGTCAGAAGAGAAATGGCAAGTTCTCTCCTGCTGGGGATTTTATCTTCAGCAGCTGGAAGCCACACCTCTGAGGATCTCTGCCTCACCCAGCAACAGAACTCTGTGATTGTCACCTACCAGACTCTTGTCTCTGGTTCTGGGATTTTTAGCCCTGCTCCAGGGCTCAGGGCTGTTAGTCTAACAACAAACCTCCTACAAAGTTGAATAAAACAGCTACACAAGTGTAAAACAGAACTGCTTCTCACCGTGCGCACCAGGCATCAAGCGGTAAATTAGCAGCCACAGTTGTATCTCACATAGTCCCATACACACATTTAGCCCACTTTGTATTTCTCTTTAGATCTTGCACACCATCAAGGCCCTCTGAAATCTTTATATTACAAATTACTTCTCTAGCAGTATAAAGTAATTTAAGCTACAAAGTGTTAAAACAAATATAACACATAGTTAATCTGATAAGCCTACATATTTTCAATGTATAATGTTACTTGGCAAATTCTTATTTCACTCCCTTTATAATCAAACAAACAAACAAACACATGGTATTTCATTAAAGAACAAAACTAAACAAAAAGGGAAACCTCAATGAGACTAGAAATTAACTAAAATTGGAGAAGTAATGTCAAATAAACAAAACCAACTAGAGGATCAAAAATCAGACGGATGGATGACAGAAGCACCAGGTTTGTCTGAAGGAGTTAGCACAATCAGCACACCATCCTCAGAAGGCAACACAAAGTGCAACATCCTACACTGCTCTCAAAGAGGGTTTAGTCTAGCCCAGAGATGCCCAGATGTCTGAACACAAGTAGGCTAGAGCAGGATTGACAAACGGCAGAGGTTCCTCCTCCAACAGACAGGCTGGAGCAGGCATGGCCAACCCATCACTGCTCTTCCTCCAGCACCATTCCTGTGGTAAAGACAGGCCGCTAGCCATTGACCACACACAGTTCTGTGGTGTCAGCATGGCTCCCCAACGTCACACCAAGGGGCTGAAGTTACATAGAACAGCCCATGACCCTTATTTCCTTGTTCTAAAGTCTTTATTCCTCCAGGAATGGTCACCCCAACAGTGGATCAAGTTTGATCACCAGGTTACATCCCTAGGTTGCTTATTACCCTTGGAAGAAAAAAGTTAATATTACAGTTTTAGTTTTTCTTGAGCATAGAAACTTCAGCTGTGCACGGAAGGGGCAATGTCAAGGGCACTGTGCACTATGTTTGTACCCTTGCATATGAAATTTCATGTGTAAGGTTTGCTTTGGAATTCGGTACTACACCACAGTGCTCAGCACTTTCTATTTTTAAAAACAATGCTCTTATTTCTATTTAATAAGGCTCCAGTATGCCTTTCTATTTCACAGATTGCCAGGAAACTAAGAATCAATTCTGTTGTTTAGTTATATCAATTGTGCTGGCCTGCTATACTGGTATGTTTGTATTTTTATTTACAAAATTTCTTTGATTTGCTATTCTCCTCTCAGTCCTTATATTTTTTACCCAGCATATCCATTTGGTAAACAGATTTCTTAAGTCATCCAAAAGAGCACAGCAGAACACATGTGGTCATGATGTGGCAGTCAGTGTGGTTAGGCTTGAACTGATTTCAGGTGCCCAGTAACCCAGAAAACAGAACATAAGTAAAGCACCTGTGTCACATTGCCTCACAAGCACGAGGATATACGTTTGATTCCCTGAACCCATTGAAAAGATGGGTATGGTGTTGCGCTTGTCAACTCAGCAGCAGGAGGTGGAGACAGGTGGATTCCAAGGGTTCAATGGCTAGCCAGTGAGACACCCTGTTTTAACAAACCACCACCACCACCACCAGGGTGGAGGATGTCCCAAGGAAGGACAGTCTTTTGGCCTCCACACACACTACACACCATGCACCCCTTCCTCCAGGCACTTGAACACAAGAAACAGAACACAGCTTCCATAATGGAACCATGAGTATATAACCTTAGCTTAATCATATCAGCGTCACTAGAAGAGACTCTTTTTTATGAAACACCTGCTTGTTGTACCCCTAGCTCCCAAGTGCTGGAATTACAGGTATTTGACACCATGCCCAATTTTATAGAGTGCTGAGGTTGGACCAGGGCTCTGGGCACACTAGGCAAACACTCTACCAACTGAGCTACATTCTTAGCCCACAACTTATAAATCTTTGAAAATAATCAATATGTTTTCCTAAGAACAATTAACAGCCAGCTCAAGGTCAAGTGACACACAATATGCTTGTTACAGTCCAGTGATGAACTTCCCTCATGAGTCACTGTGCCACTGCTTAAGCTGCCAGCGAATGCATGAACCCTGTCAAAGCAATGCGTGACTTCTGCCCTTACAGAGGTTGCTGATGAAAATCTCCACTAGCAGTGAAGAGGCTATAGCCTAAAAGAAAAATGGCAAAGGACAGAAGTCGAGTCTGTGCGGGAAACATCCCCTAAATCCTGACTTCTAGAATGAAAGGTTCAAGTTTAAAGCTGTCAAGGACAAAAAGAGACAGCACCATTCCTCAGGGAGACTCCGTGCACATTATCAAGAGCTACGATGCTTGGAATTCTCCTGATGTCAGAGCTAAACTCTAATTTTATGCAGAGCTTCAAATTTCTACTCTAAAAGGAAAGAGAAAGCTAGAGGGAAAAAGAAAAACAAAACAAAACACACACAGTACATCACTCCTCATCTCCCTTACTGCCACCACACCCCAACTCCCTCCCCATGCTCGCACTCCTACTGTAAGGGTCTACTGTGTAGTAACCCCAACCCATGGAAAATGCTTCTAAGAACTGTAGCTTAGTGGGTAGGGAGCCTGTTAGCATGCATGAAACCTAGGTTCAATCTCCAGCACAGCATAAATGGGGATTGAGGGGTAGTAGTACACACCCACAAACCTAGGACTAGGAGAAGAGGCAGGAAGATAAGAAGTTCAAGGCCATCCTTAGCTATTTGTTAAGTTCTAGGCCAGCCTGGGCTACGCACAAGAGACCTTGTTTCTAATCTAAATGTTGTTGTGTTCCTAATATAAATGTTGCTTCTAGCTACAAATGATATAAGCAAGGCTCTGGGAGTTTAAGAATGACTCACTCAGCAAGGAAGAGTTGATCCTGAAACATAATAAACACAAGACTTTTCACTTCAAAACCTTTGCTCTCCTATACTCCAAACGAAACCCAGACCAAAGTGTGTATCACTTCACACATTGTATAGCTAGCTCACTTCTCCCCTATGAGCCAATGATCACATTGGGAAAACAGACCTAAATCATCCCAGTTGTGATCTGCTAATAGAAAAGTGTCCTAAAGAGACCGGAAGTCCATTTTGAAAGTGGTGTACACACGATGCTGAAAGGGCCATGCCAAACCTTAATCATCACACACCAGATTCCCTGATTCCCATCGAACGCGTTAGGCAGCTAGACTCAAAGTGGTCATGATTACTCATCCTCTGGCGGACTCTTGACTCCTGAGTAACTCTTCCCTCAAGAACTGAAGGCTTTATTTAGCTTCTTAAGCACAGGATCTGTAAAACCACACTTACCATTAGCTTCCCTAGTTTACAGAGAATTTAAGAGTTGAGTTGT